GCTACCACGTTACACTTCTCAAAGCATATTCCGTGGATCATTTGTTCCCGTAGGTCTGCCAGGAGTGAGAGAAACCTGTGGTTAAGCATGCCAGGGAAGTACTCTAGATTCAGCTCCACTTTGTGGAATGTCTCAGAGCATATTGACAGATTAAAGGCTCTGAGAAGTCCTGCAGTGAGTTAAATCTGTTTAACTCTCTCTAACCCAGTGTTTCCCAAACTTATTTGCACCTGGGAACCCCACCGCTTTTTACAAACGGGACACTGTTACCATCCTGGAGAATGTGCTGTGGGAGATGCCACACAAGATCACATTACCTGTCTTGTTCAGATAGCGCCTGGCACATATTAGGAGCTCAATAAACACGGGCTGGATAAAATTAACACACATTTCCCCCATTTCTGGTCATCCTAGCCCTTTCCCTGAAGAGTCCCTCAGCCGTGGAAGATACTTCACATCCTACAGATGACCCACTCCTGATGGCACCCCTGTGTGGGTCTTCTTGGCTGTGCTGGGGTCACATGGAGAGAAAATTCCATTTAGGCAGCTCCATAGAGGCCTCCCCTATTTTAGCCCCTCAGAGGTCTCTATTCTAAGGACAAAGGGAAAGTTCTGAGACACTTCCGTTCAGTTTTGGCCAGCAGGAATATGGGTGTGGATGAGGGTGTGAAAACCTCCCACCATTCATCCTCCCCCAGCCCCTCAAGCCCTTCCAGCAGTACAGTGCAGACCCTGAGGCATCCTTCCACCCCTGCCAGCACTCACACCTCCGTTTTCACCTTCCTTGGCACCCTGCCCCGAAACCCCTCGCTCCCTCCCTCTACTTTTTATACCCTATCAGCCCCTCTTGCTTCCTACCTTCTTGGACTCGCTTGAACTCCAGGCTAGACTTGAATCAGATCCTCACTGGGGACCATGAACACACAGCAGGCCGGACCCCTGCTCAGAGATTCAGGTGTAACTGCTGTGGGATGGGGCTCAGACCATCTGTACCTTCAAATACAGCGAGGTCAGGAAGGACGGATGCTCGCCAGTACCCATTGCCCTTTTTCCCGTCCTTTGGCAAGCCTCCCAGCCCGGAGCAGGTGCCAGGGTGCCCCAGCTGCCTGCTCCTGGCTCCTGAGCACTGCTGGGAAAAGGCCCCCACCACAGCACTGGCACTGCTATGGACTCAGACTCCCATCTCGGTGCCACCTGCCAGCACATGTAGCAGTCCTGGGTCTAAACCACTTACTATTCTGGGTCTTCGTCACTCTCCCCATGCTCCCTTCCGACCCCAAGTCTAATGCTTAGCCTCTTGTCTCCTACTACTGGAAAAAAAATTGAAGCCACTGGGATCACATGATTTCCATCAAATTCTCGCTCCCTACCAATTCTGCTACTGCCACCCCACTGCTTTCCTGTTAATTTTAGACGCAGGCCAAAATCCAGGTCAAATCCCCCAGCCTATGGAGTCAGGCTGCCAGGGTTCCAATCCCATATACATCCCTTACTGGGTATGTGATCTTGAGCAGATTTCTTAATCTCCTCAGTGCTTCAGTTCCTCATCAGTGAAATGGGATGACGCTCGCCTTTACCTCACAGAGTTAATGAAGGATTAAACGAGATAGGCCACACAGAGAGCTTGGCACAGGCAAATGCTAACAAAGGCTAGTTATTGTCATCGCCCTCTCTGCCTCCTCCAAACTTTGTTCCATCATTATGAACCTCTCCCTGTTTCTAGCTCATTCCTCTCAGCCTATAAAGACACTCCTGTCTCTCCTGTCCTAAAAAAATCTCTTCTTGATTCTATGTTCTTGATTTCTCTTGTCCCTTCTCATCCAAACTTCTCAGAAGCATCCTTTATCAGCTTGTTCCTTTCCTTATCTCCCTTCTGTTCCTCAGGGACGTGGCTTCTGGCTCTACCATAGTTCTGACATTTGTCGGGGTCACCAAGGACCTGGCTAAGACCAGTGGGCACGTCTCAGTCCCTGACCTCTGCCTCCTGCCCTTGACTTTGTTAATCATGTCCTGCTTTGTGAAACTGTGGATGGCTTGGCTTCTGTGCTTCCTTATCAGTCCCTTGGTTCTCCTTGTACTTCCTCTGCCTTCCCCTCCCTGTCTCCGGGCTTCTCATCCGCCACTGGCCCCAGGAAGGCTGTGGGGACCCTGAGTCTGTCCTTGGTTCATGGATCTCCTCTGCCCCCGCATTCCTGTCAGGTGATCTTAGCAGCTCTCATGGCTTCTACTTCCACTTGATGGTTGATACCTGCTATGAGCTGAATTGTGTGCCCCCAAATTCATATGTTGAAGCCCTAACCCCCAATGCTATCGTATATGGAGACAGGGACTCTACGGAGGTAATTAAGATCAAATGAGGTTATAAGTTTGGGGCCCTAATCTGATAGGACTGATATCCTTATACAAAGAGGAAGAGACACTAGAGATCTCTCTTTCTAGGCTCACACAGAGAAAAGGTCACATGAGGACACAGCGAGAAAGTGCCATCTGTAAGCCAGAAAGAGAGGTCTACACCAGAAACTAATTCTGCTGGCACCTTGATGTTGGACCTCTAGCCTCTAGAACTATGAGAAAATAAATTTCTGTTATTCAAGTCACCTGGTCTGCAGCATCTTTTTTTTTTTTTTTTTTTTTTTTTTTGTGGTACGCGGGCCTCTCACTGTTGTGGCCTCTCCCGTTGCGGAGCACAGGCTCCGGATGCGCGGGCTCAGTGGCCATGGCTCCACAGGCCCAGCCGCTCCGCGGCATGTGGGATCCTCCCAGACCGGGTCACGAACCCACGTCCCCTGCATCAGCAGGAGGACTCTCAACCACTGCGCCACCAGGGAAGCCCCTGCAGCATCTTGTTATGGCAGCCTGTGCCAACTAATACAGTATCTAAGTATACCAGTTAGCTTTTCCTGCATAACAGACTATTCCAAAATTTAGTGGTCCAAAACAAAAACCATTTATTTAGCTTACCTTTCTTCAGGTCAGCAGTTTGGTCTGGGCTCAGCTAGGCAGCTCCTCTGGTCTTGGGTCTGTGGTCAGCTTCTGGTTTGGCTGGGCACTGGTTGGTCAGGGTGGCCTCAGCTGGGATGGCTCATCTCTGCTCCATAGCATCTCTCATCCTCCAGCAGGCAGGCCCAGGCTTGTTTTCGTAGCAATGCAGCAAGGTTCTAAGAAAGCAAACAGAATGGAGGTTTGGAAGGAAAACCTCAAAGTATGCAGACATCTGGGCCTTTCCATTCATACCTGGTACTCTGGTAGTTGACTTCTCAAATATCAAGACGTCTTGAACAATGAACTAAGAATATAGAATAATAATTAAATAAGAAAAATATATATATATATCTGAATCACTTTGCTATACAGCAGAAACTAACAAAACATTGTAAACCAACTATACTTCAATAAAATAAATTTAAAAAAAGAATTATAAATGAGTAAACTCTGGGAAAACACATAGCATTTTAAGGTATAGTTGACCGGACTTGACAGATGTAGAGTGAGGATGGATGAGGAAAACAGGCCTCCTCCTGAGTAGACAGCTTGCTGGACTGGATGGAGGGTGGAAATAATTTTCCAAACACTTATTACTTGTTGGATACTGTTCCAAGCACTTGGTACACACAGAACACCGAGGTGATTGAGAAAATGTCTCTAGAACCAGACTTGCCTGAATTTGAACTCCAATTCAGCCACTGACACAGAGAAAGTCACTTAAACTTTCTGGGCCTCTGGTTCCTCATCCGTAAAATAGGCATAATAACGGCACTTGCCTCACTGAGCTGTCATGAGGATGAAATGAAGTGATACATGTGAGCCACATAGAAATGCCTGGCTCACATGGTGCCCTCTAAATATCTGTCATTGTCATTATTGTCTCATTGTCATTATTTGTCTCAACCCATGATGTCGGCGATTTTGTCTCTATTTTACAGGTGAAGAAACTGAGACTTGGAGAGGTTAAATAAATACCGTAATATGCAAGGTTAGGATGTGGCTTTGGACCCAGGTGGTCATAACTCCAGAAGCTATGTTCTTTTTTTTTATTGAAGTATAGTTGATTTACAATGTTGTGTTAGTTTCAGGTGTACAGCAAAGTGATTCATTTATACATATACATAAATATATATATACTTTTTCAGATTCTTTTCCTTTATAGTTATTATAAGTTATTGAATACAGTTCCTTGTGCTATATAGTAGGTTCTTGTTGTTTATCTGTTTTATATATAGTAGTATGTATCTGCTAATCCCAAACTAATTTATCCCTCCCTCCCCTTCCCCTTTGGTAACCATAGGATTGTTTTCTATGTCTGTGAGTCTGTTTCTGTTTTATAAATAAGTTCATTTGTATCCTTTTTTAGATTCCACAAATAAGTGATATCATATGATATTTGTCTGTCTCTGACTTACTTCACTTAGTATGATAATCTCTGGTTCCATCCATGTTACTGCAAATGGCATTATTTCATTCTTCTTTATGGTTGAGTAATATTCCACTGTGTATATATACTCCATCTTCTCTATCCATTCATCTGTCAATGGACACTTGGGTTGCAGAAGCTATGTTATTAATCACCGCTTCCTTCATATTCCTCCCTCTACCATTCATCCACAGGAAGGGAGCATGTTTGGGCTTAAAGATAATGAGTATGGTTTTAGATATAGATGTGGAGTTGCCTCTAGGACAACCAGGTAGAGACTTCTATTCAGCAGTTGGGTTTGTATGTGGAGTATAGAAATCAAGATATTGTAGACAGATAGGGATTGAGCCACGGGCGGATAACATCATACAGGGAGATGGTAGCATGAGAACGGAGGAGTGTCCGGGGCACATTTAAGGAGAGGATGGAGGAAAAGGATCCCCTAAAGGAGCTTGAGGATGAGCATCCAGAGAAGGGAGAGGGAGGTTTTGGAGGAAGGGAGACCATAAGTCTGAGTTTGCCTGGGGGAGTCTTGGTTTAGGACAGCCTGGCATAATAATTAATGAGTGCCCTTTTTCACTTTCAACAGTGGCCCAGTTTGGAAGATGAATTATATATTCACCCTCCTTAGAACGTCAAGGAGGAGAAAATGTAGATGTGAAATACTGCAAAGAGGACAAGTAAGGTAAGTTTGGAAAGTGGGTTCCGTTGGAATTGGATTTGGCAAACTGATGACCTTGGAGAGAGGTTTCTGAGGAAAAAGATGGAAAACAGATTGGATCAGGCTGAAATCTGAATAAGAGACAAGTAGAGATAACAAATGTTCACAAGTCTTTCCAGAAGCTTGTCTGGGAAGGGAAGAAAGAGACAGCTATAGGGAATGGAAGAGAAGGACTCCCCCTCCCAGCCACATTCCATGGGGAAGGGATTTGAGCATGTCAGGCCCAACAGGGAGGAAGCCAATGGATAGAGAAACTGACAGGCAATCAAGAAGATTGCTGATGGATCGAGGTCCCTGGGGAGCCAGAAAGTACTAGAATCCAGAAAAATGAGAAAGAGCCTTTTTCTCAGGCTGCACCGCATGACATTTGGGATCTTAGTTCTCCGACAGGGATCAAACCCGAGCCCCCTCTGCAGTGGAAGTGCAGAGTCCTAACTACTGGACCGCCAGGAAATTCCCAGGAAAGAGGCTTGAAGAAATAAAGTGGGAGATTTAAGAAATGGTGGGGAAAATTGTCCCAAGAAGGTGGGTTTCTGGGCACGGAACTGATGAAGGGGACAGCATCATCTTGCAGACTCGTTCAGCTGTGGCAGAGCATGGTCAGTGATGCCTGGGTCTTTCCTTCGCCATAGACTCTTCAGCCCCCCCACCCCAAATGCACATAGCTACACATGCATGATTTCTACACATGAGTCAGGAGGCTCACAGCAAACTGATGCCCAAAGAGGAGTCCAGACCACAGTGAGGAAGCTCTGCTCCCTAAAGCATTTTCCCGGGGCTTGGGTGTCCTCACCCCAAAAATATGTTCTTTCCATCTCCCCCAGCTGATCCATAAATGCTCTCAACAGCCATGAAGGCAGCTCCTTCTTCATTTTAAAAGATTTTCATAACATGCTACAACTCCCAAGTTTGTAGGTTACTTTTCGCCAGTTACAGTCAAGCCCAGCTGTGTCCAGGTACCTCAAGGGGAGAGGTTCCTTAATCCCATCGGTGTGGTTACTGGAAGTCTCTTCCTAGGGAGGGTTCTCCTGAGGGTCCTTCCTGGAAACCCATAGGCCCATTCCTGGAGTCTGGGCTCCCCTCCTTGACCAGAGAGGAACGCCCTTTCCAGCTGCCGCCTCCAGACCCCAGGCCGCGTAGCCTTCTGGGTGCTGAGCCTCTGATTGAGGATGCTCCCTTCCCTCCCAACCCATGGAAAGACTATGTCTGTAAGAATTCTCTTCATCTCTTACACTTTATCATTTAATGAATATTAATGCGATAGAGAACAGCACCTTTCATTTATTCAACAAATGCTTGTCAAGCTCCATGGCATTCCAGGTGGAGTGCTGGGGAGGCAGAGGGGGTTAGTGCGTGCTCCCAGCGCTAGAGGCGTCCTTCTGAGGCCACGCCTGCTTTGTCCTATAAGAGCCCACCCAGCCACCCAAAGAATTCTGAAGAGTTGACAGCGTTTAGGAGCAGTGTCATATGAATCGCCACAGAATTTTGGCTTAAGATGGCGAAAGTCTTTACTGCTATTGAGCAGTAGTTTATCCTATAGAAAGAGAGGCCTGTGTAAAGGCAGTATGACAGGGGAAGGCAGGTCTTACTATACACTGCAGATGGTGGACTGGAGACACAGAGAGGCGAGCATTGCCTTGAAACCCTCCAGGTGATCAGTGAGGCGCCAGCGGACAGCCCAGGCCCTCTGTCTTCTGAACTGGAGGATGAAGAATCCAAGAGGAGACAGGAGAATACAGGGAGAGAAAAAAATAACCTGGAGAAGAGTTGATGAAGAAGTAGGGAAATAGTCAATGAAGTGACGTGGATAGAATAGACAACAAACAGAGGTGGGTCGAATCTTTGAAAGGACAGACAACTAAAATCCTCTGACAGAAGGAGAGATTCCCAGATCTCTTAATTCCCGGTGCATGGGCGCCATGGCCTCAGGCAGACTTGAGTCCCTTGCAGAAAGGGCAGCCCCCTGACCCCACCACAATTCCACCCTGACCCCTTTCTTTTGTCACCACCCTGCACCAGCCCCTGTTTCAGCGAGCATGCTCTCTCACCCAGGACTTGCTGCCATGACCCCTCTCCGACCTGCATGCCCCGCCACCCGCTGGACACCTCCCCTGGTGGCCTCACACCCACCTCAGTGACAATGTTTCATTCATTTATTAAATTCCATCTTGCAACCTGCATTGTGTGCCAGGAGCCACTTGTGCCAGGCTCAGAGGAGACAATAGACAGCAAGCAGACATGGGCCTGCCCTTACTGGGAAGATAGAGATAAGTCAAATGAGCAACAGCTTGTTACAATACTTTGTGAGGACACCCTACTCACCCTATCCCACCTTCAAGCCTGGATACTAGCATCATCATCAAGCAGCTGTTGGAGCCTCCCAGAATCCTGGGTCCTCCAGGCTTTTCCACCTCCTGCATGCCCGCATGTCCAGGTGATTCTCTGTGCTAGTATGTCACCTCCTTTTCTTTCTCCATGACCCCTGCCTGGACTCCTAGTCTGCCACCTCCAATCTCCACCCAAAACCCTCCTCCACATTGCTGCCCAAGTTTCCTTTTCTTTTTTTTTGCGGTACGCGGGCCTCTCACTGTTGTGGCCTCTCCCGTTGCAGAGCACAGGCTCCGGACGCGCAGGCCCAGCGGCCATGGCTCACGGGCCCAGCCGCTCCGCGGCATGTGAGGTCTTCCCGTACCGGGGCACGAACCCATGTCCCCTGCATCGGCAGGCGGACTCTCAACCACTGCACCGCCAGGGAAGCCCCCAAGTTTCCTTTTCTAAATTACTAATGTGATCACAGTATTCCCAAGATTAAGAACTTCTTTACAGGAACTTCAAAGAGAAATAGAAAGTCATTGGAGATAGAATTTAATTCAAGACTCTTGGTCCATAAGAGAATAAGTAGATGTGGATACACACACACACACACACACACACACACACACACACACACCATGTAAAAGAACGAAATAACATAAATAATAAGGTAGAACTAATTTATATGGGGTTTTTTCCTCTAAAGATAGATAATAGAAGAGCCTGAGGAAAATTCACCAAAATTGACCATATTTTAGGAAATAAAGAAAACCTTAATAGATTTCAAAAAGCAGAGTACAATCTTCTGATTGTAATACAGTAAGACTAGAATTTAGTAACCAACAGAAGATAAAAAGTCACTACCACCTGGAAATATGTTTTTAAAATTTATCCTAAACAACTTGAGTTAAAGAGGAAATACAAATCAAGAAAGGAAGATTATCTAGAAGGTAATGATAAACTCTTTGGAAACATTAAAAATGATGAATGCACAAAACTTTTATCCATGCTCTTTTTTCCCTACCACATTTGAAAAACCCCTCTATAGTTTGTACCCTGTGACACCCTACCCACCTTTCTCTGTTCTCCCCATATTTCCGTGGCTCTTGCCACTGAATTTCTCAACAGTTCTAGAAGCTGCCACCTTCTTTTAACCCTCCACACCTTTGCACCTTTATGCCATTTGCCTGGAATGTCCTTTCCCTTCTTACCTACCTAGCAAACTACCTACCTGTTTACTCATTAAGACTCAGCTTTGTGGTCCCTTCCTTTGTGACGCCTCACACAGAATCGTCTACCCCTTCCCCCTGTCCCCAGAGGCCTTGGCACCGTCCTCTGGAGAAGATGGTGAGTGAAAAGAGAACCCGGGTCAGGTCTCAGCTCCCCAGGCCAGCAATTTCAACACTGTGTCACTAACACCCAACTCCCTTGTCCCTGTCACCTTCCACCCTCTTGGAAGCTGGCTGCATTTCTAGGGGCTCTTTGCTCTAGGTCAGTTAATATCGATAGACAAAACAAAACAAAAACAGGAAATTGTGTTAATTCTGCACACAAACAAACTCATCTGTCCTTAGCTGACCCCCACCCCCTTTAGGCTGGCTCACAAATAGCCTCCTCTTGGGGCCCTCACACAGTGGTTCCCAGAATGTGTCCCAGAGATTACATGTGTTCTTTGAGATATGAATGGGTTTTTCTGTGTTTTGTTTTGGAAGAAGTTAAGGAAGGGAAGTGTTCCCCCATAAATTTGGGAAATGCTAGGTTGAACAAAAAGTTATATCAAATCACCACGATGTACACTTCAAACATCTTACAATTTTATATGTCTATTGTAACCTCAGTAAAGCTGAAATTTCCAAAAAGTGTTAAACTGGTCTCATGTTGAACAGTTTATCAGGGGACTGCCCTGGTGGCCCAATGATTAAGAATCTGCCTTCCAATGCAGGAGACGTGGGTTTGATCCCTGATTGGGGAACTAAGATGCCACACACCATGGGGCAGCTAAGCCCGCGTGCCACAACTAGAGAGCCTGCGTGCCACAACTAGAGAGCCTGCGTGCCTCAGTGAAGAGCCCGCACGCCACAATGAAAGATCCTGCATGCTGCAACTAAGACCCGATGCAGTCAAATAAATTAATTAATTAATCAATTTAAGAAAACAGTTTATCAGAACTTTTAATCACTGATAAATATTATGAAGCACCAAATAGTATGCAGATTTACCCAGAGTACTTGAACTTGGAACCTTTTAGTTAACCATGCCCTATTACATTGTGAAGAACAGTAACATTTTCTTCTTCTTCCTTTTTTTTTTTTTCAAAGATTTAATTTTACTTATTTTTGGCTGCATTGGGTCTTCATTGCTGCGTGGGCTTTCTCTAGTCGTGGCAAGCGGGGGCTACTCTTCATTGTGGTGCATGGGCTTCTCCTTGCAGTGGCTTCTCTTATTGGGGAGCATGGGCTCTAGGTGTGCAGGCTTCAGTAGTTGTGGCATGCGGGCTCAGTAGTTGTGGCACATGGGCTTAGTTGCTCCGCGGCATGTGGGATCTTCCTGGACCAGGGACTGAATCCGTGTTCCCTGCATTGGCCGGCGGATTCTTATCCACTGTGCCACCAGGGAAGTCCCAAGAACAGTAACTTTTTTTGAAACAGAGT